CCCAAAACCCCAAAACCCCAAAACCCCAAAACCCCAAAACCCCTTTTTAATTTCAAAATTGATCAGTTAAAAATAAGAATGGACAGGAATTACTATAAGAATGACTTAAAGGCTAAAACTACTTACAATTTCTACCCTGGAGATAAGCATAGTGTAAATATTACACAGAAGTACTATAATAAAGATACGACAGAGAAGAATGAGCCAGTGGAGATTATTCAGGATACTTTGTACTGGCTACCTTCTGATAATCCTCCTAAATCAGATGGAGATGACTATTATTTTACAACTGACACTTGTAATGAGCTTCAATATGACCCGTTTAATAAAGATTTTGGGCCGTTGAATCTGTCAATGACACATAGGTTCTGATGAGAGCTAACCAAGATTCTTTATAAAAGGAAGGATAAGGAATGTAAGGTATACCATCTTTCTTCAACCAGAGGAGATAAGATGGCTAATTCTGCCTGCTTGATGGCTCTCTTTATGATTATTATTCTCCAAAGAACACCTGATGAGGCTTGGGGTATCTTCAAAGAATATAAATCTCAATTCACTCCGTTTAGAGACGCTAGCTCTGGAGATTGAACCTACCAAATGACAATTCTAGATTGTCTGAAAGGAGTCGAAAAGGCAATGGAGCTTGAATGGTATGACTTTAAAAATTTTGATGTGCAGGAGTATGAGTACTACGCCAAACTTGATAACGGTGACCTTAATTGGATAATTCCTGGCAAACTTTGTGCTTTAATGGGCCCTTATGAATCAAATTATGATCAAGATGGGCTCAAATGACACACTCCAGAAGACTATAGCAAGGTATTTGAAAGCTTGGGAGTTGAAAGAATCATCAGGCTCAATGAAAAATGATATGATAAAAACAGATTCGAGCAGTTTGGCTTCAAGCATAATGATCTTTTTTTTGTTGATGGCTCAACACCTTCAATGGAAATCGTTGATGCATTTATTGAACTTGTCGATAATACCAAGGGAGCAGTTGCAGTCCATTGAAAAGCTGGATTAGGAAGAACAGGCACTCTAATTGGATGCTACGCTATGAAGAGATATGGAATCTCAGCATCTTCATTTATTGGATGGATAAGAATTGCAAGGCCAGGTTGTGTGCTTGGCCCCCAACAGCATTTCTTAATTTCCATTGAAGATGAGATGAAATACGGAAATCGAATTGGAAGTAGATTTAGAAAACTTGATCCCTATGGGAAATCTAGCGATTCTCCTTATCGCAAAGAGATAGGAATGTCCCCTTATGAAAGAATAACAGGTATGTATGGAGAAGAAAATCAAGGAAAGCACCTTTTAACAGCCAAGAAAATGAGGGGATCATCAAAATATAGGTAGAAGAATAATTAATAAAATTTTCTTATTTCTGGAAGTTTTATTGGGGTTTTGGGGTTTTGGGGTTTTGGGGTTTTGGGG